CAGGTTGATTTTAGCGCTGCTCATCGTGGACTATATTGCTGTCATTGTTCATTTTAGTCAAACCATACAGTTTGAAAACGAGGCGCGGCTCCAACTAGAAAACAATGTTTTGATGCATTGGATGTGCTGAATGTGCATATTAAGGCAGTACAGGAGGAGGTGCACATTAATAATCCTCCAGGACTGTAACATGCTCATGTTTAACCCAAACAATGTGTCATGTGACTGCAGTTGCTTCACATCCAGGTCGGAACACCTTCTCACCACAAACCAACCGCACCAGAGTTCCTTTGGAACCGGACTGAGACCACCTCTTCAAGAAGGTCTCAGTCTGGTTGTTCTGCTGTGTTCACACCTGCACAAATGAACCGCACTGAGGGGGCAAACCAACCTGAGTGTGACTGAACCAGAAACAGCCCCAAAATCACCATCGCCAAACCAACCAGACTCCACTCTATTTTACAATGATAAAATTAAATTTTTTTTAAATGGAGTCTGGTTGGTTTGATGACAGCAATTTTGGGGCTGTTTCTGGTCAAACAAAAAGGATTTTAATCTGTAACAAAAAGGTCTATGTCTACAGGGATCCTTTCCATAATGCTGTCAGACAATTAAGCCCTGTTTCCACCAAGCAGTCAGTTCAGTTCAGTGCATTGTTTCTGTTTCCACAGTGAAAGTTGTGGATGGTCCCAACAGAAGCGTTCCTTAGCGTCCCCATGTTTGGTCCCCCCTCTGTTGGGGTACCTAGCACACAGATCTGGTACTAAAAGGTGGAGCTGTGAACACTGCAGTCTGATTGGTCAGTAGAAGACGGTCACTCTGCTCAGGGCTGAGTTGTGTCTGGTCTTGAGGCTCATGCGACCCGGGGGGAGAACGGAGGGCGGGCACAATGTTTCCACAGCATTGCTGTTGGGTCAGGATGGTGTTACTAGCAGTAAGTGCTGAATGAGTGGCTCCGCTAGCTAGCTACCACCAGACTCGGGTGGTGTGCAGTGCAGTAAACTGACGGGTAACAAAATCAACATTTCAGGCGACATGTGTAACCCGTCAGAAATATTCTAATATTCTCACAAACGTTAATTTTCACCGTTTACATCAATTCATCAAGAACATTCGCCAGTCTTCGTAAATTGTCGAGTGATTGATTTACAAACTGTCATTTTACTTTTTAAACGATTAATTTCAAAGTCTACAGTGACTCTAGCTCCATGTGTCTGATAAACAGAACTGACTCAGGTCCTCACCTTTGGGATTTTACTATTATTTTCTGTACAACTCAGCCACAAAAAGCAAATACAGGAGAGAACTTCAACAAATCCATCCTGAGTGATAAAGTATTGTTTTAATAAACCAGACATTTTTCACAGCAGATGTTTTCACTAGCCATTATGATAGCTGCATTCCTCCTCATTAGACGATTAGTGGAGCTGAGTCATCATCACAGTCACCATGTCCTCCTGTTAGAAGGCAAAATGTCTGCTGAGAAAAACTGGGGGTTCTTTTTCACAAACAGCCTGCGGATCTGTATTTTTCCTCAAATTCACAGATGAAAAACAGACAGAAACACAGACGCACTGTAGGGTCAGTAAGTTCTTTTACTTCACATAAAATGCCATCACCATCTGTAAAAAGCCTTCATCACGCAGTCCACAACTGACATTTAAATAAGCCTCATAATGAAAACCACTGACAGAAACACAGCAATAAGAAGTCTGGAGTGTCATTTCAGAAAACATGGTATATCAGATCATTTTAATAAAACTACAACACCCACAAATTCATCAAAAATGTTCAAGCATCACGATTAATTAAGAGTTAAAACAGCAGATTACAGAGAAATAAACAATATCAAATAGGAAAGAAAAGACAGTGCAAAACTTAATGCTAACATTTTGTCCTAAACCTGCTGCTAAATGCTAGTTCTGTTGCTTATTTAAATGAGGGGCTCATTTTCCAAACTGTCGGGACACTTATTCCAACACGTGGTGTTTTATATTAATAACATAGTGTGCAGAGGACTGAGGCACAGAGTGGGTCTGATAGCTGGCAGATAGGCTGAGGCAGGATGTGAAGAACTGGCAGAAAATAGGGTTACATGCAAACATCTGTTTCACCTTTCATGTACTGAACTGAAGCTCTGAAAACTGCAGCTACAGAAATTTTAAAGGGATAGTGCACCCAAAAATGAAAATGCAGCCATTATCTACTCACCCATATGCCGAGGGAGGCTCAGGTGAAGTTTTAGAGTCCTCACATCACTTGCGAGACCGTGAGACATGGGCACCACCTTCATGTGTGTTCACATGCTTTCGCTGGTCTCGCACAAGTGCACACACGACACACCAGAGAGGCAGTCAGAGCTACAGGCTACAATGAGGCTAAAAACAGAGTTCAAATGAGGTTTTTCCAAACAACTTTTTATGTCGGGGCTTCAGGACACTTGGATCACTACGGACGAGCAGTATGGAGATATTTTGTGGTTTCAATTATGTGTTTTTGGACGTTTGAATCTGGGGCGCCGTCAGCCTCCATTAGGTGGAGTTGTGTTGCTACCTCCTCTCCCCTTGGATCTCTGCAAGTGATGTGAGGACTCTAAAACTTCACCTGAGCCTCCCTCGGCATATGGGTGAGTAGATAATGGCTGAATTTTCAGTTTTGGGTGCACTATCCCTTTCAAGGTACCGACGTCACAAGAAGCCCTTATCAAGAGACAGCAAGGGACTCTGTGTTATTTACAGAAACATCATGTGTGTATGGAATTAAAAATGATTTTAAAATGTTTTCATGCGACTGCGACAAACACTTTTTAAACGAAAGTATAAAGGCCTTTACACACCAAACTCCTGTGTTAAAATAACAAATGATTGATAATATGAAAAAGGAGAACAGAGGTAGAGCAGTTGTTGGCATTACATTGCTGCAGCTGTACAAACTGTCTTTACTTAATCTTTTACAAAGCGTGTCTTGTGGCTGACATAGAAAACGAGTCGCTGCTCTGGCCGTCAACAGTTTGGGAAATGAGCTGTCAAATGTTGAACCTGAGAGAGAAACAGAAGCCACTGCGGTCTATTAAAATATTAAGCCAGCAATCTCTAAAAGGAGATTTTCTAAAGTTAGAGTGTCGTTAGGAATCATGAGCAGAGATGTAGTGGAAGCTTCCAGACACTGTTTAACCAAAGTTTCTGTTCTGATTAGTCAACAAAACATCTGGTGGTGAAAATATCTGTTACACATTTACTCAACTTGTTACCACTACATCACTGCACATGGGAACACGTCCTGAAGGCAAACAGTAACTAACTGACAAACTGTAGTATATTCTTGTTAAAACACACAGAGAATAAAATCAAAGGGAAACTTTTGTTTTTCCAGCCGGAGCCTGTTTTCCCACGTGTTTGTGTCTGACGGATGGAAACGACAGTTCTTTAAAACCAATTTTTAGAGGGAGGTTTTTTTTAAGAGAGTAAGATCCTTTTTGTTTCACCAGAGACAGCTAGGAAATCTCTATCACCAAACCAACCAGACTCCATTTAAAAAAAGACTAATTTTAGCACATATAGAGGCAGCATGTTTTCACATGTAACTGGGTGAATTAAGGTTAATTCAACCAGACCAGAGTTGGTGATTGTTGCAACAGTGAAAAGATGAACCAAGATGGTTTCTGTGAGTTTTATTTAGTTTCTCTGAATGAAGTCTGTATAATGTTGATACAATTACCGTTTATTTAAATGGAGTCTGGTGGGTTTGGTGATGGTGATTTCAGGGCTGTTTCTGGTTAAACAAAAAGGATCTTACTCTCTAACAAAAATCTCTATCTCTGTAGGGATCCTTTCATAATGTTGTCAGATACTCAGAATAACAATCTGAGCCTGTCAGTGACAAAACAAACACTTTCGTGGACGTACACTGACGCTGTGAACAGAGTGGTTACACTGCAGCACACCAGTCTCAAAACCTATGTTCCGATCAGTCACTCAGACACAAAGAAAATGGCAAAATGGGGTCCAGGTTGAAAAATACCAAAGTTGCCCTTTAAACAATAAATGTTACAAGGTTTCCCTTAACAATTGCATTGATTCAAAAATTGCATTGAAACTGTTTTACTGGATGAACAGTTGAATTCAGGCACAAATGTGTTTGTTAAATGCCATAGCTTTAAAACCAGAAATGAGTCATTGTGAGTACAGACAGTGAGGAGGAAATGGGGGCTGATCTCATCCCCCGGCTGAAAGTACCTCGAGCACCGAAGTGGACTGTATTTGTACCATTTGTAAATCCATATCTCGATCACTAACTTTGACCTTTCATGTTGATTACTTCCTGCTGCTCTTCTTTGTCATCTTAAAGGGATAGTTTGGATTTTTTGTAGTGGGGTTGTGTGAAGTACTGATCAGGAGTCCGACACAGAGGCTGAGTAATGTACTGTTGTGAATGGGGGCAGCAGCAAAACCTATTTAGCCACTTCTAAAAAACAATATCAGTTTAAATGTACAATATATTTAGAATATTTTCACCACTTCACCTGCCGTCACACAGCCTACTGCGACAGGGAACTGAAGCCGTGATCTACGCTCTCTTAAAAGCCACCAGACTCCTTTGATAAAAACAGGGACCCCCAAACTACATATATAAAATTGACATACATATTTAACTGGGCCCAAAGTGCCACATGTAAACATACCTTAACATGGTGCATACAATAATAAAGCTATTAAAATAATAATTGTTGACAGATTCATATGGTGATAGTGGATTTAGTGCGATGTACTGTAAACTAAACTGCACCCAGCCCCAAATAGGCCGATTTATCTTTGCTAATAATGTGTTGGATTTGTGTTAATGTGCATTTTTAGACATATTTTCATTATTAAAACAAGAAAAAACAGTAACTCTGAGGCCCCCGAGGTTTCACAGACCCCCTGTTGAAGGCCCCTGTTCGCTTGGATTCAACAAAGTCACACAATAACTCAAACAAACTGACTGACTGAGGCAGCGGTAGCCCAGCAGCTTCTGTGTTTCTCAGTGGAGTCTGGTGGCTTTGAAGAGAGCACAGCTAACGGTTTCAGTAACCCCGTCTGAACAGGCTATTCTAAATTTAGCATGCATTTAAACTGAAATTGATTTTTTTTAGCTGCCTAAAATACATTTTGCTGCTGCCCCCGCCACAGCAGTACATCCAAATTGGGGGTGTACCGACAGACTGCAGCTAATACCCTTCCTTTGTGTAAGTGGCCTCATACAACCCCACTTGAAAATATCCAAACCACCCCTTTAAGGATGCTTAAGTCAAAGGGTCGGCAGGAAACCTTTCAATCTCCCTTGCTGGGTCATGACAACCTAGAGAGACACAAAACAAGGGCCGGAGGGGCACTTGAAGACGCAGCTGTGGGAAACATACAGCCTGAGAGGGCGGACACTGAGGCTGGCTTTACTTTAGTTAACTTTAATGTCACTGTACTGTGTGAATGTTACAGTCCTTTAACAGACATTTCAAAATATCGCGATATATATTGTGTATCGTGATATAGCCTAAAAATATTGCGGTGTTGTTTTTAAGTCAAATCGCCCAGCTCTAATTAGGACTGAGTGCCGCAACGCTCTCCAAGGTGTCTGTGTGTTTGAGAGGGACTCAGAGAGAGGGGAAGGGAGACTATTGCGTGCAGGGTTTTTGGATGTACTAATATTACTTGTCCCGCCTGCTGGAATCTGCAATATTTACATAATGTAATAGTAAATATAAACCAAAACAACAACAAAAACAGCAATTAGCCCTGTGAATGTGAGCGGGTATTGATCAGTGATGGCAGCAAATCTTGACAACGGCAGTGACAAACTAGGTCGCTACAAAGGGTGGCACTTCACCCTGGAAAGGTCGCCAGACAATTTAGAGTCACCAATTAACCTGCGTATCTTTGGACTGTGGGAGGAAACCGGAGCACCCGGAGGAAACCCACACTGACACGGGGAGAACATGCAAACTGCATTATTTCAGGCATCTAACCAGAAACTCATTGACTCTGAGGTGCAAACATGCTGACTCATTTCAGGGATTTAGGACTCATTCCTGCAGAAATAATTTGTGTCATCAGATAATGTATCTGAATCCTGTAAATCTGAGTTCAGTTCAATTCAAACTATTTCTTGAATGAATGAAATTGAACCTAAATGTACGGGGCATTAAATCAAATTAAAAGTAATGTAACTCTAGTCCCATTTGATACATTCAATTAAACAACAATAAAAAATGTGTCTACTTTGCTCTCAGTAACTCTTTCCCTTCATTAAGATTGATCTCTGCTTCATCTCCATTTTTCCCTCAAGCTTTCCCAAATGTTCGCAGTGACCTTCAACATGAATACTAAACTGTGTGATTAGTGTCAGTGAGGCTGATCTGCACAGCATCACTTCCCACAGTCCTTTACGTCTCATGTCGCCTTCACTTTAATTGAGGTTTCAGGGTCCCTCAATGCTTTCCTCCTATTGTTGGACAGATTTGTCTCTCGTTGTCTGCCTCTTACTTTGCTCAAAGACTTCCTTCCCTCTTTACTAAAAATCGACCTTCACAGGCTTCATATTCTCAGAGAAAGCAGGGAAGCATTTTGCATTCTCACGTTGTGCAGCTTAAACTTCTCCGACAGACAGAAATATAGTCAAATATACTGTTAGTTCCTGTTTTCACGGAGACGGCTTTGAACTCTATGTTTTTAATGGATCAAAGTAAATCATGACAATGTTTTTTATTTCATTGTTGTGTATTAAAATGGTTGGAGAGCTTCACTTTCTGTTTCAATTCATGCTTTTAGTTGGTCACATAATGGGCTGTGGTTTTAGTTAATGGGTTCTTAATGGTCTCTACATCAAGGATAATGTTCGTCCACCAGTTGAGCTGCATCTATCTCGCTCAGAGGAGCTTCTTGGTCTGAGGCTGAGCGCTGCCTTTAGAGGTCAAGGAGGTTTTGGTGTCAGCGGACAGCAGAGTCATGATGTCTTGGAGAGCTTTACTGATCTCAGCTCCGAACCTGTGGGAGTCCTGAGGTGGAGAAAGTCGAGAATTAATAAGAAGAGAGTTGAAAAGGGAAGAATATAGAAAATGATTGTGGGACAGAATGAAACCACAGAGAGGGAAGAAGACTGAGACAACAGGATGTAGATAGAGAAGTGGGTAAAGTTTTATAACCCTACTGATACTGAATGTTTGAGGCTGATACTGATTTGAATATCTGAGACTTTAAAAAATGTAATATATCTGCAGACAATATCATTTCTATATAAACACTTTTATACAGACCAACACATACCAAGTAGGACATTAACTGTGTATCAAGACCAGGTGGAAACATTAGCACACATGTGAGCGCGGTGCCCAGAGAGGCAGTCAGAGCTACAGGCTACAATGAGGCTAAAAACAGAGTTCAAATGAGGTTTTTCCAAACAACTTTTTATGTCGGGGCTTCAGGACACTTGGATCACTACGGACGAGCAGTATGGAGATATTTTGTGGTTTCAATGATGTGTTTTTGGACGTTTGAATCTGGGGCGCCGTCAGCCTCCATTAGGTGGAGTTGTGTTGCTACCTCCTCTCCCCTTGGATCTCTGCAAGTGTTTTGAAGCCTAAAGGTGCGGACACATCAAACCGACATCAAAGAACTAGTGGCGACGAAAGCCGACTGTTGCGTCGTCTACGTCGCCTCACGTCGCCCTGTGTCAGTTGCATTTGAACACACTACACGGACTACATCCGACGGCCAAGTAGCACGTACGTTCTGCGCCTGCGTGAGAGAGAGCGGAGTGAGAGAGTGGTACATCCTGTCAGCCGAGGGGTTTCCTATCTGTGCAGCCGAGCACCGCAGCACCTCCACGGACTATTACATCCAGACGGTCCCGGTGTTTCCTCCTCAGGCTCCACTTCACTCAGCTGCCCGATAAACCCGCTGCTTCTTCCCACTTTAACCTGAATAACAAACCAGGGCTCGGTGCTCCGGTTGGATCCAAACGGAGAGCTGGGGCTAGCTCAGAGACTAGCGGAGGCTAACTGGCTGTGCTTCCCTCCGGTCATGCTGCGGCTAACGCTCCGCTAGCCGCTCCCAGCTAGCTCCGGTTTGTTATTCAGGTTAAAGTGTGAAGAAGCAGCGGGTCTGTGGGGCAGCTGAGTGAAGTGGAGCCTGAGGAGGAAGCACCGGTTAGCCCCGGTTTCACTACAGGCAGATTCACTCGCTACAGGGGCGAGGAAATAAAACCTGAACAGCCAATCAGAGTGATCTCTCTCACCGACAAGCTCCGCCGGCGATTCAACATGCTCAATCGGCCGAAAAGCCACCGATGCCAAAGTGCTGACGGTGCAGGACACATTGCAAAAACTAGGCTGACAGACGCTCACAGACGGCCCAACTTTGGTCGACGGCCAACCGTCAGCTTGGTGTGTCAGGGCCTTAAAACTTCACGTGAGCCTCCATCGGCATGAGGGTGAGCAGATAATGGGTGAATTTTCATTTTTGGGTGCACTATCCCTTTAAGACTTTTTGAGGACTTAAATTAAGAAAATTTAATTAAAGAGATTTTAAGACTTTTTAAGGACCTGTAGACACCCTGGTGTATATTGTGAATCCCTTGATATCAAATGTTTATCTGTGATTTCTGAGTCTCTCTGTGGAGCTCCAGGCTCGGCCCCACCCTCAGTGCTTGAACCCATGGTGGGAAATCACGTGTGTTTATTGTTCTTCCTTATCAATAAATACCTGAAACACTCCACTGTATTAATCTGTGCAGTTTATTGACTTATTGCACTTATTGTTAATCAATAAAGCAGCTGACTGAGCATATATTTAACACATTGCATCATGCCCATGCATCTGTACAAGTAGGCCTGTCATAAACTGACTGATCACATTAGGTTTATCCTGTTAATAAATATGTATCATCAATGTAAATAAGTGTATTACATCTTAAGAAGAGCATGTGATCATTGTTTTAAATAAGCTACACGACCTCCACCAATAACCTTAACGTAAACTCTACCGCCTTAATATTCAAGACAACTGTAACTAATGACGTTAATGTGATGTTGAGCAGCAAAGAACTTGTATTAATCTTGCAAATTCACCAGGCTTCGCTAGCTAGGCTAATGTAGTTAGCAAACTAACGTTAATGTTACGTGAAGTTACATATATCGGTAGCTATTAGTGATAGTCATGTTCTCAGAGGTTTGTTTGAATTTTTGTGTTGATAGTTTAGGAAAAAATATGACGACATAAAAATAAATTTAAAAAAGGACTTTTTCTTTACATTCAGGGGAATTTTGACAGCTATTTTAGATTTAGTCTTGAGATGAAAATGTTTTTTAGTTTTAGTCACATTTTAGTCATTTTTATTCGTCATAGTTTTAGTCGACTTTTAGTCATTATGTTTTTTATCTTTAAACTGACCCAGTGAGGCTGATTCATGGATCATAAATCAGACTCAAGGTGACAGGTTGTATAAGATAATGTGTGTGTCATGTCTCCAGCAGTGTGTGACAGGTTTAAAGGCTGATTTACGAGCACACACTCACTGATCATCATCTGAAAAGCTCAACATCTCTCTATTTATGCTCTCAACAAATAACTAATGTGAGCCAACTAGGATTTGTCCCCAGGTTCATTGTAAACTCTGACTTATCCATGTGACTGTTAAGAAACAGAAACATAACTTGTTTCTTCATGTGCAACATGTTAGTCTGGAGGTTTAAACTGGTGTCCTCTCACAGAGTTGGTGATTCAAACTAAACTTTCATCTGAGTTCAGACTGTTTACTTACAGCACAGCTACACTCACAGATAACTGAGCCTCCTACCTGCCTGTCAAACACCATCAACCCACAAACCTTCTCCAGTCCGGACTGAGTGGAGTCCTGCGGGGTGAAGCTGTGAAGGCTGCGAGCGGAGCTAGCTGCTAACAGCCACCGCTGCATCTAACAAACTCCACAAATCCATTCAGCAGCTCCACCATCCACAGTCAGACACACACGGCTGATTATTTACTGCTGAATTACAGCTCACAACTCGCACCAACCCAAACATCCTGGTGCAGACTATTTACTGGAGTTTCCCAGCCTGTTGCTCATCAGGCATCTGAAGATCATTACAAGCACGGCTGTTCTCGGCTCTCAGTGTCCGATAGTCCACCATGAACATTTTTATCAGGTCTCGTCAGCGAACATGAAACATAGATTTCGTCTTAGTTTTTATTATCAAGGTCTATTTTTAGCTCGTCATCGTCTTGTCTTCATCATGAAAAAAAGGTTGTTGACAAAAAAAAAAAAAAAAATCAAAACTGTTCACATTTCAGCAGTGTAAACAGACCATAGTGGCACTGTGGCCGTAGTTCAACCCTCGCTTTGCTCTCTGGAGGACAGACTGTTTCATAGAGTCACTTTTCTAAATGGCATTAAACTTATTTTGTCTTTCTGTGCAGCAGCTCCTTGTAACTTATTGACTGCCTTAACACCCGATACAAATATTTCTCCAAAAGGCTGATACCAGCTGATATACCAACCCGGCTGGTTTATCGGTGTCACTCTATGATGAAACCAGATTCCACAGTAGAAAACGAGACTGTAAAGAGGGAAGTGAAAACAACAAAGCGCTGCAGTTTCTCCTGTCATGTGCTTTGTGGTTGAGGGATGAATGAACAGTGACGCGACAACCTGCCTGATGCCTGTGAGGCCAGATGGCCCCGTCTAACTGCTTTCTACCAACCAGAGATAATAAACAATGAGTAATAATCCACGTTTTACTTGGCTATTGTCATGTCTTAAGAACTGTACCGTGGAAAATTCATGAGAGAACAAGTTACATTAACGGCTTTGCATCTGTCTTCATGTGGTTCGTTAACACTCAATCAGTATCTCTTCATACCGCATGTCATTTTCATACGCCGTGCTGTAAACCTCTGCACAATCCACACAAACTGACACTTTTAAAACTGCAGTAATCTTTCATTTTTCACTATATTCTTCATATTGTATTTTTCTCCTTTTGTATATTTATGTTTCTTGATAGTGCAGTCCTTTCTTTTATGCACCAACACACCAAAGCAAAGTCCTTTTAAGGCAGAGTAGTTCGGGGCTTTGTTTTGCCTCTTGGTTTGGAACTTCCCAGCATGTTTCCAGTCGTGTCAACAAATGTTGGTGGAAACACGCCAGGGAGTCTGGGTCACACTTGAGAAACAGACCTGGGGACTCATTTATAAAACAGTACGTAAGATCCAAAAATGTCCACGCAGACAAAAGCTAAAAATGGCATGTGCCAAAATATATGTGGCAGTTTCTACAACCAGACTTCCACCTCACCATCTGCTTCTCCATTTTCTGTTTTCAAAATTTTCACAAACATCTTTCTTGATGTTTCCTCATAGATCACAACTTCAGTGTGGGAAGTGTCGCACACCTCTTTCAGGCCTCGTTTTGTGCCTACACAGTGTTAATAAATGAGATCCCAGGTCTTTATGTTTGTGCAGCGTCCCAGCTGGAGTGAATACAGATCAGATTCCAGTGATGCTCTGGGTTAGTGAAACATCTCGGTCACACAGGTGCAGTTCATATAAGGAAAAGTAAACTTTAGTATAACGAGAGGAACGAGAGGATTCCTCCCTGTATGAGTGACAGTTGTTTCCAGACACTGATGAAGAAACAGAGGTGTTACTCACAGTCTCACTGCAGGAGTGTTTGGACGACACGTGGAAGTTGATCATGTCCTCGCCTACGATGATGTATGAAACCCCGTAGCCATCATCCGCCACCTGACATGACCACAGACATCATGTGAGATGAACCTTAAAGCAACACTTCAATAAAATCATTTAGACGGTACGTTGACGTGTAATAGGAAAAACGGCGCCTCTCTTGCACGTCTGTTTTTGCACTGTTAAACCTTGAGAAGGCAGGACGCTTTACAGCACACACAAACAGCAACGCTGCTGGCTGTGTGTATGGCACCAGCACCAGAGGGGGCACCAAAACAGCCCAGTATGATCATCTTCAAGCTGCAGCACAAGCTCGCCAAGCGCTGTGCTCATGCTTTAATATTAGAGTTATTAATGCAGTCAGTTTCCTCTGCAGAGCGAAGTTCAGGTCAGGTAACACAGATGTGTGCCTCTATAGCGCCTCCTGCAACTGCTGAAAAATGTTCTATAGTTCTTTTGCAGTGGAGAAAATCCTGTCTCTGCAGAGTCAAAATGTTCGTGACTTTCATTCTGTTGTGTTGTGATGTTTTTCTTGTTATTCATTTATATTTATTTGAACGATAATAGTAGTGATATCCCATCCTCAGACCAGCCGGTAGGAAATACGGGCAGAGGAGATGACATTTTGAAAAGTGGGCCCCTCACACACACCCACTGGGAGGTAACTGTTACTGTTAATGGACCTCAGTTGCGGAAATATTCAAAGGCACTATTTTGAAAAAAGGCAGTGTTCCTTTGTCCCTGGCCAAACTTCAGTGTACATTTGGAGCGTTGTTTGGTCCTATTTCCCACAAGATAGCAGAACATGGTTGGTACAGTTTGATCTGATAGCTGCCACTGGAAGACCATTCTGTGAGGAGGAGAGTGAGCAGCAGCTCTGGAAACAAACCTCAGATTGAGCCAACATACACCCCCATGCTGAGGAACCACTTCTTATTATTCTAGGAATGTCTGATGATGTCAGATAGCACTCAGCAGTTTTTTCCTTTTCCCACAGTCTGATTATTGCGAAGAAAGAAGTCCCCACAGCAATGATGTGGCCCCTTATGAATACACTTCACCTAGAAAGAGGAAGATGCACATTTATGGACAAACTTCCATATTTTGAGCTCCTCTCAGTCCTTATCTTATTTCTGTGACCTAACAATCGGCATTGTGATGAAAGAGTGACGGTTGTCCTCTTATTTTTCCTTTGTTAATATAAACATTTTTTCATTTTTATCATATTGTACATGTTTATGTTTTCTCAGTTATTACTTATTAGTATATGTTAATTCATTCATTCATTTTCCGTAACTGTTTATCCTCTTGAGAGGCAGGGTTCACCCTGCACAGGTTGCCAGACTATCACAGGGCTGACACAGAAGCCCTTTTTAAACAGGAGTTGTGCAAATTTGCAGGAAAGCCCAATCAGTCTTTTTTCAGCATTGGCAGTATAAAAACAAAATCGGGGAGTGCAGCAAAATGCCGCCTACCTACTTTTGTTTATACAGAATGCGCCTTTTTCGGGGCAATGGGGGGCGTGAGCAAGTAACAAAACGTGTAGCTCAGCGTGTGACGTAAACAGTGACGTGGGAGGGAAGCCGCGGCTGGTCAGTCCTTCGGTGATTCTCTCATAAGTCGGCCCGTTCTTCACCGTCCCCGTCATCTGACGGTTAATGGCCTCTTCGTTTGCGAGGACAAGGAGGGCGCGCAATTCCTTGTCTCCCCAGTTGCTCATCTTTACAGTGTCTGTCAGGTTTGTGTTTCCCTCTTGCTACTAGCTGCTCGCTAATTCCTGCTATCAGCTGTTTCCTGTTTATCCACCGCCAGTGGCTCGCACGTGCAGCGTCATCAACAGCTCCTCCCACAAGTCTTCAACAGCTCCTCCCACAAGTCATCAACAGCTCCTCCCACAAGTCTTCAACAGCTCCTCCCACAAGTCATCAACAGCCCCTCCCACAAGTCTTCAACAGCCCCTCCCGTTGCAGAAGGCCGCCTCAGTCTGTTTAAACTAAAAGGGTTCCACCAATATGTCTACCCTACGAGGCGGAAAATTGGACACCTTGGATCAACTCGCCAATCCGGCTCTGTGTGTCTAAACGCTCGCAGCTTGCCGGCAAAACGGCCGAACATTCACCAAAAATCTGGCAGTGTAAAAGGGGCTATAGAAACAGACAACCATTCACACTCACATTCACACCTACGGACAATTTAGAGTCACCAATTAACCTGCATGTCTTTGGACTGTGGGAGGAAGCTGGAGCACCTGGAGGAAACCCACGCTGACACGGGGAGAACATGTAAACTCCACACAGACAGACCACCACATAAATGCTGCATTATTTCAGGCACCAGGAACCCTCTTGCTGTGAGGTGACAGTGCTAACCACTGCACCACCGTGCCACCTACTATATGCTTAGGAGGAAAAAAGGAGAAAGAGCACATTACGATCAAACTGCATAAAACACATTTGACAGAAAGTTGGCCGATCTGGAGTCCATATGGTCCGGGGTTTTATCCCCAGTGCTGGAGTCTGCGCTGTCTGAATTCAAGTTGCTGCAGCTGCTTGTATAAAGTCTGTATTTACAACAGTGCTGTTCCACTCTGAAACTGTGGGGGCGCCAAACTGCAGAAATACCAAATCTTACATAACGTTGCTTTAACACCTCACACACCACCCACTGTACTTATGTGTGTTTATATGATCTTGTTCACATCTGCAGTTCCGACTCCAGGACAGTGTGTGTGTCACTCACCGGTCCAAAGCCTCCGCCCAGCGATATGAAGTCAGGGTGGTTCTTCAGGTCAAACAGCTCTATCTGCTGAATCGGGGTCTGACTGGTGGAGAGACGCCACGGCTCCGACAAAACCTGGAGAGTGAGCAGGACAGGGAGGAAAAAGAGATTGTACTCTACCACGTACCGTATTCTGTGGACGTCACTGAGACACTGCACCAAAGCAGAAGCTCACCTCTTTGAGGAAGGGCGAGTCCACTCCCAGGTATTTGGACACCACGTACAGACAGAAGAGGTGTCGGTCGATGCCGGCTCCGGTCATGGCCATGCGATAAAGGTTCTGGTGTCTCTCTGAAGCCAGTCGGAAGAGACGCCTGCACTGGTCCTCTGCCTGTCAAACATCATCAACAATCTTTACACTTTAAATTTACCACAAACACAACACAGACTCTTGATCACACAGTCTGAGTCACTTTCACATTGACAATGTTTTGTTCTGGAGTCTGTGCGGACATTAAAATGCTGTTTTATGAGACTTGAAATAGAGCAAATTAAAATATCCATCAGTACCTCTTTGTTCTCCAGAGCTTTGACGAAGGCACAGCTCTCGTTGGAGCAGGATCTCACAGTCTCAGTCCGGCCCTCCCTGAACAGACGCGTCATCGACGCCTCGTAAGTCAGACAGAAACCACCACGATCCTGGAGGACGAAGAGGAGGAGGAGAAGTTTGAGAGGAAGAAGGGAGAAGAGGAAAGAGGTGCAATTATTATATTATTATTTGAATCATGCTGAAAGATTGCACAAAATATCTCAACAATGATAAAAGCAAATTAGCCAACGTAACTTCACAAAGAATAAAACATATTTCCAGGAAAATCTTTTTTTTTTTCATTTAACTTTTTCAGAGTCTGAACTTTCTCAGCAGCACATCAAGAGAAAAACTCAAACTCTGATATGCCCTGACACTGAGTCATGGTGGCTACTTCCTGGTTTGGACAAAGGACAAGACATTACACAAAACTTAATAACAGTAACAACGTTAAATATAACCAGAACTCAACCAACCAGTCAGTCCACAGTCCAGAATCTTTAACTTATTAAACTGCAGTCACGACAGAAACGATCCAGCAGGAGGAGGAAGCACTGACAGAAACTAGAACTATCGCCCCCTGGTTGTGTGACTCTGCCCACCAGCCCGATGCTACAAAATGCTTTAAGAAGTGTGTGTGTGCGTGTGTGTGTTACCCTGTAGTACGCCAGCTGTAAGCCGATCTGTATGAAAGCGTCGGGGCTGATGCGCAGCTTCTTGATCCGTCCTTTTCCAAAGTCTCTGAAGGGAAACACGTGACAGTCCACGTCGTCCGCCAGCGCCTGAGCAACAGCCAGAGAGCTGCTCACCTGAGCCTGAACCTGACACACACACAGAAGAAGAAGAAGAAGAAGAAGAAGAAGAAGAAGAAGTGGAACAAAGGTGATCATTTGGACCTTCACTGACATTGCATGTAAACTTTGTTATTTTTGGCACGAAGTCGAGTCATCACGGTGTTGACACACTGTGCTGGGAGGCAGTGGAAGGAAACGATGGTGAAATCTGACACTGTGCAGGTGACTCAAGCCGAGCATGAAACTACTGTGTGAAACCTTTTCTCCTGTTTTCCCTCTCTGTCAGTAAAAAATGTTTTTGCCATGTGTGTAATTACAGAGAAGCAGTCATAAAAATCAGGTTTAAAAAACTATGTAAGACAGAGATCTTAGAAGTTAAAATCCTGGGACAAAAGGTATCGTCTTGCTCTCCACTTCCAAAGTGAGCTAGGCTTCTCCGCCTGGATGTGCGTGGGTTTCTGCACTTAACTTAACTTTGGCAGGTGTGTACTGAACATAGAGCCGTTTACATCAGTGAAGGCAGCGACGCTGGGGTATGGACCGCAGCTCAGGCACAGAGGAGCAAGTTAGTGTTGTCCATGCAAAGAGCTGTGAGCACCTTCCCACCTTTTACTAAGTGACTGTGAAAACCAAACTTAAGTAGTGTAAACTGTCGTACAGTATAAAACAATATGAAATTACACAAGAATCCCCGCTCTGTGGTTATATGATGTTCCTGAGATATGACGTTAAAACATGATGTCACAGTCAAGCTGACCTTTGACCTTTTGACCTTCATTATTTCATCCTGTTAGACATTTGTGTGAAACTCTTTTTCTAACTAGTTTATGAACTCTTGAGTTATGGACAAAAACATGTGAGCTGCAGACGCTCTGATCAGTGTTTGTGTCTCATATTTGTGTTATCACCTCTTTAATGTGCGCTCTGATTTTCTGAGGAACTTCTGAGTGAAGTGTAAGCTGCTGTTTGTCACACTCTGCACGTCACCGGTGACTCACATGTCCAAAAACACACACGACTACAGAATTTGTCAATAACTTAGAAATCTCACTTTATACTTTTCCAATTAATCGCTGACTGCGTTCAAGAACAACACAGATTTCACTTGGTTCGTGTTTTTGTTTGTTTGACGGATCAAAAGATTGGTTAAAAAAAAAAAAAAAAATGGAGTCAGGAAAAGCCATTTAAAGACAACCTGTTCCTGTTCAGCTCTGAGATTCGTCAGGTTGACCGCACACGACCCAAAATGAGACCCAGTGAGTTAAATCCTGCTTTTGGGCCATCATAACAAAGTGTCATATTTCTGATAAGAAGAGGAAGGAGCCTGTAGCTCACTGATACCAATTCTCTCTCAGCCCGGTGGGGGGGGGGGGGGGTACAGATGACCTCGGCCCAAAGCCATAAAAAGGTCAATGGTTGACCTTTAAATTGGATCAAGTACAACATTTAACTTACTGACAGGGTTTAATGCATTAACATGATAAATAAATGTATTTTTATCACTAGATCACGTCAACGTGGAGGAACTGATTTCCTCTCACAACGGTGCAGAACGTACATGCTGGTTTTTGAGGTGTGTTCATGTGCAACTGTTTTGGCCGAGACACGCCGACTTTAAGGTGCTGACACACCAAACCGACATCAAAGAACTAGTGGCGACGAAAGCCAACTGTAGCGTCGTCTACGTCGCCTCACGTCGCCCTGTGTCAGTTGCATTTGAACACACTACACGGACTACATCCGACGGCCAAGTAGCACGTACGTTCTGCGCCTGCGTGAGAGAGAGCGGAGTGAGAGAGTGGTACATCCTGTCAGCCGAGGGGTTTCCTATCTGTGCAGCCGAGCACCGCAGCACCTCCACGGACTATTACATCCAGACGGTCCCGGTGTTTCCTCCGCAGGCTCCACTTCACTCAGCTGCCCGATAAACCCGCTGCTTCTTCCCACTTTAACCTGAATAACAAACCAGGGCTCGGTGCTCCGGTTGGATCCAAACGGAGAGCCGGGGCTAGCTCAGAGACTAGCGGAGGCTAACTGGCTGTGCTTCCCTCCGGTCATGCTGCGGCTAACGCTCCGCTAGCCGCTCCCAGCTAGCTCCGGTTTGTTATTCAGGTTAAAGTGTGAAGAAGCAGCGGGTCTGTGGGGCAGCTGAGTGAAGTGGAGCCTGAGGAGGAAGCACCGGTTAGCCCCGGTTTCACTACAGGCAGATTCACTCGCTACAGGGGCGAGGAAATAAAACCTGAACAGCCAATCAGAGTGATCTCTCTCACCGACAAGCTCCGCCGCCGATTCAACATGCTCAATCGGCTGAAATGCTGCCGACGCCTAAGTGCTGACGGTGCAGGACACACCGCAAAATCTAGGCCGACAGACGCTCACCGACGGCCCGACTTTGGTCAACGGCCGACTGTCAGCTTGGTGTGTCAGGGCCTTTAGGCGGTGCTGCAGGGGGCCTTCGTCACCTCTAGTTCTCTGACGTAGGTTTGGCGTGCCTGGGCCTTAAAGCGCCTTTTGAAACGAGTTAGAAGGTGCCGTACGATAAACAATAAAGCAGAGAAACAGAGAAACTGGAGTCTGACGTAGCTGACAAACTATTTTTTATATATCTGCTGCAAAAAAATAAAAAAATAAAAACGCCAATAACTGGTCAGAAAATGTGTTTTGACACGTAGGAAGGCGCTAGTATTCTGACTGGTTTGTATGTTTTTTTTTCAGTGAAAACTTCTGAAAAATTGTGACAGCAAGCACGAGGGTTTTAATTTTGTCGTAATGTAATGGCTGGACTCAATAATCGCTGAGAAGCCTTGATGAAGAAATAAAGGTTGTTTTTTTCCAGCTCTCCGTTCATCATCTGTTAACTGCTGATATATAACAACCACACGATGTGGTTTAGACATCATTAACTGAACACACACTGTTTTTAGATGTGAAGCAGCTCTGGGATTCAGAAGGCGACGGACACATCAACAGTCTGCACAAAGACGACTGACGTAGGTCGCTGATGAACACAGGGCGTCCCCCTGCCTCAGCACAAACTGAGAACTGAGAGTCAACTGTCAGACTGTCGGACTTCCTTATTCATCCGCAAGTCCTTCACATGACCTTTACCGGTCTGATCCCCACAGAGGGTTCAAAACAACAAAGAAGAGAATCTAGATTTTCTTTACGTCACACGACAGCAGGCTGCGAGAACTGTGAGAGTTGAGGGCGAAGGGAGAGATGAAGGACAAAGAAACCTTGAGCCAGAGTCCTGCACGAGGTCGGGTCCCCACAGGTAACCCCCCCAGAAAGCTGTGTAACGAGCAAAAATATGTGTAATATAAATTCATGGGTAAAAAAGAACTACAGGTGGGCGGGGCAGCGGGTGAAAACAAATATATATTTTCAAATATTTCCAGTGTCAGTATCATCACTCCATACACTCACAACATGCACACACACACACACACACACACACACACACAGATGTGTAATCTGATAAAAAAAATGAATAAAACACATTTCTCAACTGCCCTGACCTTTAATGATTCAGACGAGGCATTGAACTCGAGCTGATTGTCCTCCCTCTGTCATGTTCTCATAAATTATGTTTTCATCCCACTAGAAAGAGAAGCTAAGAAGACTTTAAATCAGAGTTGGGTACCCACAGGTAAACCACTAAAAGCTGCTGGTAAAAAATATGTTTATATATAAGTTTGTGGGTAAAAATGAAGTACATATGGGCAGACAGGTGAGAACAAAAAAAAATCATATAAAACATTTTCAACCACCTATCCAAAGCCATGTCGCAGAGGCAGCAGGCCATACAAAGCCCTCTACCGGGCAACGCTTTCCAGCTCCTCCTGGAGGACCCCAAGGTGTTCCCAGACCAGATGAGATACATAATTCCTCCAGTGTATTCTGGGTCTGCCCCGGGGCCTCCTACCAGTGGGACATGCCCAGAACCCCTCTAACAGGAGGCGCCCAGGAGGATCCTGATCAGATGCCTGAACCACCTCAACTGACGCGAAGGAGCAGCCGCTCTACTTCGAGCTCCCTCCAGATGTCCCAGCTCCTCAGCCTTTCTCTAAGGCCACTTGTATCTGCGACCTCTTTGTTTCGGTCACTACCCAGAGCTCATGACCATAGGTGAGGGTTGGGACGTAGATGGACCAGGAAATCGAAAGCTTCACCACGACAGTCCTGCACAGCGCCCGCATCACTGCAGACACCACTTCTGAAATCTAAATCACTATTATCAAGCTGCAGTTGATTTAATTTTGAAAGCCAGTGACACCAGTGTAACCTTTGACCCCGTGGTCACATTGGTCACCGACGTGGAGGACTCCAGCCATGAAACTCTGCAGCCCGAGGATGAGGTGGCAGCCTACATGGAGTTGGGATCCTTTGGAGGTTTGATGGTGGTGGAAGGAGCATGCTAACATGTTTCCTAACCTGGCAGTGATTGAATGTTTTCACCATCCAGTCAAAGAGACGTCCAATTCAAGAACGGAGAACCAGCTTCATGTGAGGGACTGGAGCCTGGGGGGGTTGATCATGGGGGAGGGTGCGGCTTTGACTGAGACATGATGACAGGTAACAGGTCGGTTCTGGTACTGACCTTTAGGAGTATGGGCGGGTGCAGGTTTTCAAAAACGGACCCGTGCAGTGTCACATTGCATCAAATTTTATCTTGGAATCAACTCAACTCGTCCACCCCAATTAACTGTCAGTGAATCTGCTTTATAGTCACAGAAGGAGAAACTCCAGGACTTTCCACAAGATCATCATGTTTCAAGTTTTCTTCAGTATCACAGTAATCCCCTGTAACTGTTGGTACATGTACGGGCACTCTGTAAGTCAGAATTGCCAACGGTTAATTCAACACTTTAAATACTGGTAAATGGTGGAATTTGCCCGAGGGGGGGGAACAGTGTCAGACTTAGAAACTGCTGCTCTGTATTATCTACAATCTGATATTATGGCAGGTTGCCTCAACTACAGCGCCTTGCAAAAGTATTCATCCCTCTTGGTGTTTTCTACCATTT